CGGCATTCTGGCAAACTCAGGAGTTCTATGAACTTGTTTCCGGGCACTAAACTTAGAATGTATCATGTTAAGTTGACATTAAAAAGAAGATAGAGGAAGAATAAACCAGAACCTATATTTTTTCTGAAGTTGTGCTAGGGGTATCCTATAAAGGCTAAAAAAGTTATATAGGAAAGAAATATGTGCAAGATGGAATTGTGGCAGACTTTTGTTCTAGAACAAGCTTTTGCTCCCGTTATTCCCTCTAGCAAAGTGAAACCAAAATTTGTTTTTTATACACTTTAGTGTAGATTAAATGACTAATGTCTGAATGATAGCACAAATGGACAAAACATTTTTATGCATGATTCATGTTCCTCTATGTTGTTTAATCCTAGGTTATCTATTGAGCCAGCCTAGGATGTGTCCTGTATTTTTTCTTTTTCTTTTTATTTTTTTTTTACCTTTTTGTTATCTTTCTTCTTTTTATTGCATCATCTTATATTAGTTTATTTTAAAAAAAAATCTTATAGCTTGTTATGCATTTCTTGGTTAATTGTTATTACATGCATTATTATTATTATTTTTAATCATCAACCTGTTTTTCTCTGTATATGTTCATAACTGATAGAGCAAATGTTGAGGACATGTTATGGATATTTATTGGCAGTCTCCGAGTGGTTTTGCTGTGCGTGATATCCTTCTTACAAAACCCATTGAATTTTATACTTCAACTTACTTTTTTTTTAAGCAGCAATTTAGGCACACATCATTTGAGGGAGCTGATCTTGGGAGGGGAAAAAGCATGCTTGTTGCTGCCCTGATGGACATAGTCACATCGAACTGTGATAATGTAGATAACTCAATGCAGAAGCTATCTCTACCTGTAGATGCTGACATAAGAGATATCGCTGCAGCCCTCGAAGTCATCGAGGAGGGTGGAGTGCATTTTGCTGATAGTAATGGCAACGAGGATGGTGGTGACGGCGATCCTGGAATCGAGGGAATTGCAATTAAGATTCTAGGCGGTACAACCATTTTAGGGTTCTCGAGGACAAATGAGCGCTTGAGTTTGGGAGGAAGGGATGACATTTTAGATTCAACCATGTTTCTGACTGGAAATGTCGAGTTCCCGGAAAGTACCAGTAATTTGCCAAAATTGGAGGCTGTAGTTTCCTCAGCTGTTCCCGGTCTCTGGGATGATCTGCAGCGGGAGTACGTGGCCGTACCTTTTGCTGCATGGGCTCTTGCGAATTGGGCTCTGGCTTCTCAGCGTAATCGCTCCTACATTCAAGAACTCGATAGAAATGGACATGCTGTAATGAATGCACTGACAGCGGCGGAAAGAACCGTGAAATGGCACGGAAGTTTGATAGCTCGTGCACTCTTGTCCGACTATGACTTGCCGTTGACTTTTTCTATTCCTGAGTGGAGTGAAAGTCTTCTTTCAACTGCTTTTCAGGCTAGTAAAGTTGAAGATGCTACGTTGGCACAAATAGCTCTGTCAGCTTTTCTTGCTTCTGTTGAGAGGAGTGATGAGGCGAAGACTTATGTGAATGATAGAGGCCTCAATCTGCTGAGGGAAATATCAAGCAAGTCCGGGGAAAATAAGAATTTGCAGGAAGCATTGGTGAGGGTCTTAGAATTATTGTATGATGGTAATGTGCACTTATCTTTTGATGACAGTCAGAAGTGGTCTGGAATTCTTCTGCGGTGGGTTTTTCAGAAAAGTTCGTCCGCAAGTATACGTTCATCAGCAATAAAAATACTTTCATATATTCTTGAAGACCATGGGCCTAATTCCATACCAATTTCTCAGGGATGGTTAGCTATCATGCTCAGTGATATTCTTGGAGCCAGCAAGGCAGCATCTTCGAAAGGAAGTCTTACGCCAAAGTCTGATAAAGTGAAGGTTTTGTGTTTTCACCCTCTGCCGAATTTGTTCTGTTTCAGTGATCCTGACTCTTATAGCACCTATTCTTTAGTGCTGTAGAATGTGATAGATATTGTAGCAATTTCATTCTCATCTTTCATTCACTTCTTTATGCTCGAAGGAGTTAGGTTTACAGTGTTATGTGTGGCCTTCTATATTTATTTGGCTTTTTGACAGAGCTAATAGTTAGTGCAGAAAACATGTTTTGCTAAAATTTTTTTTTCCTGTTTTTATAAACAAATGGCATGGCTTGTGATGCATTACATAGTTACAAGCAGATTTATACTAACTATTATCGGCTTTGCTCCAGGCTAGGCTCTCCTGTTATTTGAGTGAATAATATATATGTTCTATGTTTCATTTGAGTTCTATCGTTAAGCATGTTTGAGAATGTATTGGAGAACGTGGCGTACCTCCTTTCTTCTCTATGTTCGGGGATACCATGTGCCACAAAGGAAGCACTTTTATTATTAAACCATTTTTTGCTTTTGTAGACCAATGCTCCTATTCTCTCCCATCTTGGCTGGCTCACACATCCTCTCTCCTTGGTTGGGTACACTTGCAGATCTCTCTCTCGATCTCTTCTTTTTCTTCTACACAATAGAACACCCTCTTCTTCTCTTGAGCTTTAGGTTAGAATTAAGCAAGAAGAAAATCCTTGATGCATTGCTCCATCAATTGATATTAGGTCATGAACTCAATCCAAAAACCCATTTCTTTGTTGATGACTTGTACTTGGGTGTGTGCTGATCCTACCAATTTCAACACTACCATCACCATTCTTTTTTAGCCTTAAATCTTAAACAAAGCCTGTACAACCTGATCAGCTTTATACCCTTAGTAAGTTCACTCCAATCTCCAAACTAAAAACAGCTCAAAAGCATTGTAATGTTCTGTTGAATACTGCTGAAACGAAATTCAAAATGCAAGAACTCTTTCTGCTGGCCCCCCTTGCTAAAATTTACTATTCAAAGCTTATTATCCGCCGTTGTATTCATTAACGGCTTTCCAAAACTCTGCATTTTTATGTTTCACTTATGCTTTTCCCTGTTTTGTTGCATTATCAGGCTATTTTCTAATGGTGTCTAGCTGTTGTTCCACAAAATTTGCTTAATTCTGCTTTTTTTGCTGTTCAAGTTGCCATGTGTGCTGTTTTTTACTGAAACATTTGTGTTCCTGCAAAAAACTTTAAATAACACTTTCGTCCTAACTTGACTGGTACGCCCACATCTGCACTCCTTATTTAAGTCAAACTGATTTTGGGAAGCATGTTTGCCAAGTATCTTTTTAATTAACTTGTCCAGCCTTTCCTAATGGAATTCCCAACAATTTTCAATGATAAAAATCATATTTCTTATTTTCTTAACCAAGTATCTTATATGTTTGTCAAGTTGTTTTGTATGATTTCTTTCCAACAATTAAATTGAATCATGGTTTTCTTGTTGCCACACCCATTCTTCGCATTCCTATTTTAATTTTCATGATAATTGTGCATTGCCATATTATCTCAATTAAATCAATTCTATTATCATGATAAATTCGTAATGCTTCACCTTTCACTATAATCCATGTATAGATGGTATTTCCTTTCTTTAATATTTCACCAAAATATCTAAAAACATCCTGTTACGTCTATAGAGGAGCCTATCCTCCCTGAACCAGCTGAAGGTGAGTCAATCTTCCTTGGACCGGCTAAGGACAAAGTAACTGTCAATGTTTTGAGCAAATAGGCTTAATGCCTTTTTTCTTTCATTCCAATAAATAATGTTCTCTACAATCTATTTTAGGTATTCTAATAATTCATAATATTTTGTAATAATACATATTCATAATCTAATCATTCAGCTATAAAGAAATATTATGTACAATTAATATACATAATTTAATTCAATAATTTAAATAAGGAAACTCTTAATTCTGCTCAATTTCAGTCAATATTGATTGATATTCCCCCTCAAATTGATGTTGGCTGACATCAATTTGTCAACAAAAAATTGATGATGCTGCTGAGAAAAAGTCTTAGTGAATATATTAGCAGTTTAAAGATCAGAAGACCTTTTAAATAGGATTTTCAATGAGTGGGAAGGTATTGGCATGAACAGAAAAGGATCGTGCGCTTTAGTCCAAGCCGTCAAACAGATGCACAGACGAACAGATGAAGCAGTCCGGAAGAGCGAACAACCCAGTCAAGCGAGCCAGACGAGCATATGAAGACGTGGGAACCTTCAGAAGTGGGGAGATTTGCTGCCTGGAAATGAAATTAGGGAGAGGAATCCGAAGTTGAAAGCAAAAAATCCTTGAGCCTTGAGTGCTGAAGCCATGAGTGCCGAAGTCGAAGCCGTTGATCTAGGAATAAGTGCCGAAGTCAAAGCCGAATCCTTCGATCCTTGAGTGCAATGAAGAAGCCGAAGTCGAAGCGGACGAAGCAGAAGCGGAAGTAGTTGAAGATGCCACAAAAATCGCGATCGCTAGTGAAGAACATCCGAAGCGGACGAAGCCTTCGATCCTTGAGTGCGACGAAGAAGCTGAAGTCTAAGCAGAAGCAGCAGTCGAAGATGTAGGAAGCAGCCGACGAAGATGGAATGAGCTCGAGTCGAAGATGAAGACGAACGATTCCCAAAGGTTAAGGAAGACGACGAAAGATTCAGACCGGAAAGATTCGACGTGACTCTGATACCATGCCAATGTTTTGAGCAAATAGAGTGAATGCATTTTTTCCTTTGCTTTCATTCCAATAAATAATGGTCTCTACAATATTAAAAAAATAGGTATCTTAATAGTACATAATATTTTGTAATAATACATATTCCTAATCTAACCATTCAACTATAAGGAAAGAATATGTAAAAGAATATGTACAATACAATTAATATACATAATTTAATTCAACAATTTAAATAAGGAAACTCTTTACTGACCGAAGGCGAGCCGGTCCTCCCTGGACCGGCTGAACACAACGTAACAGGTTCAAAGACGGCCCGGTCCTGACGACAGACAAGAGCGAGGCGAACAGGGAGAGTTGCAGAAGAAGGAAATGGTGGGGTGGGGTCCACTAGGACCATAATTATCTATGCAAGGAGGAGAAATTAAGAGAGTTTGGAGGGAGAGTTAGGAAGGAAAGTTTTTGAAACACTAGGAAGGGATTCTATTAAGGGGAGAATCTAGAGTTTGTCTTTTTTTAGCATGCATGTTTTGTTGTGGCTGCTGTTTTCTTTCTTTTTGTGATGTTCGTTGCGACGTCTAGGGTGTGAGAGAGACGATCTACCTCTAGCATAGTACATCAACCTTGTATCTTGCTTGTTTTTTCTTTGATTGTTGTGAGAGCAGCCATTATTTGTATTTTTTCAACTATCTATTGTGATTTCATCATGGTTTGTTTGCTGATTTTGTTGCCGAGACGTATCATGCCCACACAAAGCTTTTGTTGGCACTCACCCCTCATTGTTATTGTTAAACAGTCTTATGCTCGGAGTTTTGCCTAATTTGCATGTTAATAAACCGGTTGACATCATGAATCTTAGACTTTAAAACAATGCCATCATGATGGTCTTGCATATATTAATAGGGCCTCCACAATACTTAGGATCGTTCTAGATAATTGCATTCATGTATAAGTAGTGATAAAGAGTATGTCGGTAAGGCAGTGACTCATAGGAATGGGCATACCGTAGCGGTAGTGGCCCCAAAAAGATGGGCGTGCCGTGGTGGCAGCGGCCCTAGGAAGATGGGCATGCCGTAGCGGTAGCGGCCCGAAAAGAGGGTATGCCGGTAAGGCAGTGACCCGAAGGTAGGCATGCCGTAGCGGCAGGGGCCCGAAATGAGGGTATACAGGTAAGGCAGTGACCCGAAAGAATGAAACTCAAGTAGATGATATCGATCATGGCCGATAAAGGAGTGACCCGAGAGTGGGCATGCTGTAGCGGCAGGGGCCCGAAAGGAGGGTATACCGGCGAAGCAGTGACCCAGAAAATGCAATTCAAATAGACAATATCTATCATGATCATGCAGATGGATCAAACCATGTACGTAGCTATCCATTTTTAATTATCTTATTATCTATACAATAATTATATTAACTCACGCTTTATTGTTAAATCTCATGGATCTAATTTTTCATCCTATTATGGTACATTTGACAACCAAATCAAATTGGGGATGATTGTAGATTTTATTTTATTTTATTTATTTATTTTTTGGTGCACTTAAGCTGATACATTTCTCTCCACATACCTTTATATGTCTCTATTTACCTAACTTCCTTTTACTGGATGACCTTATTTAGTCCCATAAAATCTGAGTACCTCAATGACCCCTCTAGATCTTGAAATATCACCCACTCCATTAGCTTTTTGACATCACGTAGTTATTTTAATGAGAATATTGATTAGCTTGTGCTCAAGTTGGAGCTTGATCTAATGATATGTTTGAGTTTAAGCTGGTGTTTAATCTCAGTTTTGATCCATCGAACAAGCTTGATGATATATGATATGTTTTAAGATCTAAATTTTTTGATAAAAATATACGAGAGGTATAGAAAATCATGCAACACACAAATCAATCATCACATCTCACAGTCTTAGTTTTTAACAATCATTCATTCCTTGTGATGAAGATAAAAAAGCATGAAGTAACTCGGTTGAGATAAAATTTTGATGCCCTTTCTTAGAAATGGCAAGTATAGGTTCAAAACTAAGAAAGCCATACAAGTGGGGGTCTACATATTGGTTGAACCAAGTTGTATTGTATTCAAGAAAAACTGATAACTAGATCGCCGATAATAAATTTATAGCAAGAAATAAGATGTAGAAGGCAAAAATCACCTAAAGAAAAATAGGCAAGCCTCATACCTATTTAGGAGATGAGATTTCTTGAGAAATTGAAAGTCTCTCACTTTATCAATGAATTGAGCCTCAATGGTAGAGGGGAAAGCACTTCCGATTAAAACTATACTCAATGCAAATTTTATTGAGCTTTCTACA